GCTCCGAAGTCTTTTAAGATAGGCGCCTACACCAAAGACCTAAACGTTTGAATTCTTTTCGAGAGCTACGAACATTTTGGCCTCGAGATGTCCTTGAATATGATTCCAACTATTTCTAAGCTATTCTAAACATAATTAGTTTTATAATTTGGATAATTTGTACACTATAATTTGGATAATTTGTACACACTGCCATCTTTCTAGTCAAGACTAATCCCTTGAGGCCGAAGCCCATGGATGGGCCGAGCTCGGCAAAGATAGATATGAACATCTATTATTTAATAAACACTAAGGCCTTAAGGCCTAACAGTGGTTAGGCTTAGCTTTAGGCTTCTAAGGCAGAGCACGGAGTGCAAGAAAAATATGTTTTACTTGAATATATCATATCATATCATACTTCCTTTAAAAGAGAGAGTTGTGAAAAACTTTCCAATGACTATATTACCCCTTTTGATATTACATTCTATTACTAACTAAACTAAATTAATTATCGTTGTTAATTAATTATACTATATGTCACTTCAAGTTTGTATAATTTGGTCCTTAAAACTTTTTACATTATTGTAAAACTCTACATCATATTTTTTATTAGTAATTATAATAATATATTAATAGATAATTCTATATTAATAAAGTATACATGGAAAGAGTAGAAAACATAGTATAGTCCTAAAAATACTATTACACTCATATAGGAAAATTACAAAGACATTCTTATGTTTAGGTAATAGGATAAAAGATACATGCATAAAATTTTAGAAAACATTAAGATATTTAAGTGTAGCAAGATACAAGTAGGGATATATAAGTATAATTTTGATAAACTATAAGTAATTTAAGTTCAGTTAAGCCTATCTACAAACAATAGTACATAATCCCACTGATAAATAATATTCATCATATAATATGAGGTCACATGCTTAGCTTATCTACACCTCTATACTTAAACGAGGATCCAAAGATTTATTATTCATGCTACAGTAAATAATACAGGAAATTACTATAGCATGAACAATAAATCTTTAGGTCTCCTTTAAGTATGCAGAGTAAATTTACTATTCATGCTACAATAATTTACTATATCATAAATAGTACCCTTTTAAGTATAGAGCAGCAGATATGATTTCTAATTTTAAGCATATAATAATCAAATCAAATGTATTAAATCTTAGAGGGAAGTAGGATCAAAATGCAATGCTTAAAAAAACACCATATTTTGAATAAGTCTTCAGATTTTGAATTATTTCCTAAAATTATATATTTCGCTTAGAAAACTTTAGAATAAGCTTTTGAAGGACTATTACAAGCTGGTGGACATGAGATAAATATTAAACAAATAAAATTCATGATATCAGATTGCAGAAATCGGGAATATGTATACAATACTGGGCATCATATGAGATAATATTCATACATAACATAATGTAATATGTAATCTAACATATTAATAAATTTTAAACATAACAATTTGCATCGAGATATATGCTTAAGATTTTGGAGAGCCGAGAATGTAGAGATTTTGGAGAAGAATTGCGGCTTTTATGAGTTTTCTGGGTTTCGATTTTGTTTCCCAAACATGATTCAAACCTAAGCCCACAATCAAATTACAAATGACACGATTATTACGATATCTTCAAAGGGAGATATCAGCCATATTTTTTATAGCGGTTCATATATCAAAAAAATCACCAAATAAAAGAAAATAATATTAAATTTTTTCGAAATAAAGTCTTTAACCCGATATATTAGCCGATATAGCAATATATCAACTGATGTTTAATACAATGCCTATAGGAGCAAATATGTGAAAATTATTTAGATATTAGTTCCTTGATTTTAAGTATCCAATAATTTTATGTTATTCTCTCAAAATTTTGAAATTGTTTATAATTTTAGGGACTAATATTAAATTAGTAAAAATTTAAGGGACAAATTATAAATAAGCCATATTTAAAAGAAGAGTTAATTTTTAAAAAACATCTCAAGTATGTGGATTGTGTCAAAAAACTCACTCAACTGATTCAATTTAATAAAACCCCTTATTATGGGGGTGTTATAAATAAACCCTCTCAATTTTGGTGCTATTTTAGAAAACACCCCTTAACTATAGCGTGTCTCATTAAAACTCATATAATCTTTTACACTTCTATCAATAGACCCCCTTAACATACTTACTTCAATATGTGATTTGAACAAAATACCCTCTTGAAGAAAGCAATTTTAGTTAGAAAGAAACGCTCAACTGGTAATAAAAGGACAACAACCAATTTACAATTCTTTTTTCCTTTATATCATCTTTTTTTCTTTTATCTGGCAAAAGCCAAGGTAATTCTTTTATAGTTTATGGATATTTTTATCTTTCCAAGTTAAGTACTTGTTATATACTAGATAACACTCAAATGATATTAGTTTTGAGAGCTTAGGTTTAAGTGAAAAAAGTTCATAGGGGTTAAATCAAATTTTTTACATTGAGATAGATTACCTACAAAACACCCAAAACATGACGGAGATTTACTCAGTTTCAAATAGTTTTTTTTTGAGGGGA